TGCTGAGCACAACACCTGCATGTGGTGGCCCTTAAACATCTGTAGAGACCATGGGGAGTGATACATGTCGTCAAATGACGCATCATTAAATATCAAAAACACCGAGTGGCAGGATCAAGCTATAGCTCAAACATTGTTTGTGGACAATTAACATGAATGGACAGACATTAAACACGGAGAATCCTGACTGTGCCTGTCCCCTCCGCCTTCTCCATTCACCAACCAGGAGCCAGGCCTGGCTTCCCCTTCCTCTACAGAGAACATTACCTTAGGAAGAAGCTTGAGAGGATAGAATATTTGCTTAGAAACGAGAAGTCTTGGTGCAGGGTGGGAAAAGTGATAAGCCCCAAACGTGAGCGGTAGTGCTGGGGTGCTCGAGCACTGAGGGGTGCCCTCCAAGAGAGCTTCGGCTCTTGGCATCCCCAGGACACCCAAACAGGAATCAAAAGCCTGGTAACGCAAAGCCAAGTTTAGCCCCCTTGAGGAGAAGACCAAGGAGACTTCCAAGCCAGCTACCTGAGGGAGAGGGAAGCGAGCAGCAGTGAGGGCGTGAGTGTGTGTATGTGAGGCTAGGGTGAGGTGGAGGTAGGGGAAGAGCTACAGATTCTTGCAAAGCCGCTTTAAAGTTCCTGCTGGAGATAGCGAAATCAGGCTAACAGCATTATCAACTCTCTAAATATATGGTCTCTCAGAATGCATTGTGTTCGGGAAATTCCAGAGGTGGAGTTCAGTAGACCGCGCTATAAGATAACCTTCAGGTGATTGTGGTTAAGACTATAGTAACTAGAAAATGTTTTACTTGAGCTAAGGCTCAGAATGGTCCTGGTGATATTTTATCATTCAACCAACAAATCTCTGTTGACTTGACTCAGTTGTGACATGAGCTTTCTTAAAGTTTTATGGGAGAAATGTGTTATTTCACTATGGTAGCAACAGGCCCTCATTTTAATTTTACTCCGTTTGGAAGGGGGAGGGTATAGCTCATTGGTAGAGTCCATGCTTAGCATATGCGAGGCCATGGGTTCCATCCTCAGTACCTCCGTTAAATATAAAAATTAAAAAATAATAAATTTACTCATTTAGTTGAGAAATTAAAGCGTTCAGCTTTTAAACTTGCCTTTTGCAACTTACTTTGCTTTTGCTGCCTTTAATTGCAATTGAGCTCAAATGAGAACTCTTTTAAAGAGAACTGCAGCAGGAGCAGGTGGAGAAGAATCTGGTCTTATGATTTACTATCCTCTTTGGAAGGAGAAGGGAAATAAGCTACCTATAGACAAGCCAGAGAAACGGACTCCTCTTGAAATGGTGCTGTGTAAAATGCCTGTTCGTGGATCCTTCTCTCATTGATCGCTGGCAGTTAACTACCGGGAAAAATCAATGGGAGAGGCAAGGTCACTCAGCATTAGGTTATCTGCATAAGAGCGGGAGGACTGGCTGCAAACAGGCACTGGGCTTTGGCTCTGCTTCGTAACAGCAACCTCACTGACCCTGGACACCTCAGTCCCTAAATCTGGGCTAACGTGGCTACAAAACAGATGTGGGAGGAGAGTCAGGCACAGTCTACGCAACGCATAGAACCTCAAGTTCACTGTTGTTGCATTGCCTCCTGGGGCCATTCTTACAGGTCATCCTTTACTGGTGGATTTTATGAGGACTGATTTTTTTTTTCCTTTGTCATGCTTCCTCTCACATCCTTGAAAAACATATGCAGTATGCGTCAGACACAATGTCCTGCAATTTTTATAGACGCTGATTAATTGAATTTTCACAGGCCTACTTGAGGAAATGAGCCTCAGAGAAGTGTGTGGGAGTCGCCGGTGAGTGGTCGACCCTGCCTGCCTTGCTAGACCAGCGTCCTGTCTCATTTAGCGCTACTCTAGAAACATCTGGAGACCATTAAAGATAATGATAACACAACAGCGGACCAATGCTGGGCACTCCCCAGCCTCATTGAATCAGACTCTGTAGAGTGAAGCCTTGCATTTCAGAACTCTCCCAGGTGATGCTAGTGTGGTGCTTGGCTTGAGGACCACTGTGTGAGACCATGCTTCCTCTCCAAAATGAGGTAGAAACAAGAAAAGAGAATAAGACTAGCATTGACTGAGCACTTAACTGCAGGCAAAGTGCTTATTCTTAGCTAATCCTCCCAAGCAACTGGAAAGGTGTTCCCATTTTACAGATTTGGAAGCTTCTGAGTTACTTAACCAGAGAAGTGAAGTGATTTCTCCCAGATCCCAGAGCTCCTAAGAGGCATAAAGCAGATACGAGCCCAGGCTTGTGTCCAGGTTACTACGCCACTCGGCTGCGACGCACACCTCTGGCCCACACTGAAGGCTCAAAAGAGATCAAGCCAGGCTTGTAAACACTCAAGCTTGGAACACATTAGAATTTCAAGAGAAGGAAACGGCAAGTTACGGGTTTCCAAGGAGAACAATGAGGCAGAAGTACCTGAGAGCAGAGAGGAAGGCATAGTACATCGCACAAGAGAAAGAGCAGAAAGACAGGAGGCAAAGGGAGAGGAAACACATACCTCACTCACTGCTCTGATTCTCACCACAGCCTGTGCTGCAGGAGCTGTCGAGCTCTCCCTTCAGCCGGTGGGAAGGCTGAGCCCAGCGACGCTGAGCAACACCCTCACGTTACAGAGCTGGTGAAGTGGCGTGGAGTGTTCTCAACGCCCATCCAGGGTCCTAACTACACCCTACACTGCCCACCGCTTTTCAAGGGAAGAGAAAGAAGGAGACGCCAATAGGATTTGTTTTGTTTAATGCTCGGAGGCAGGCACTTTACGTTCATTATCTCGCCGAATCAATACAGCCAACAAATTCCTTAGTCCTTGTGAGGCGAAAATTACCTCCAACCTGAGTTAAGGAAGCAGGCTGGCCATGGTGACAGTGTCTTGCTTAAGGTCTCAGTGAACTGGAAGCAGCAGTTTTAAACTCTAGCTCCAGGGTTCAAACCCTAATTCAGCTAATTTCAAACCCACCTTCCACAAGAAATAGAAATAGTATATATCTTAATACTATTTCTAGAGTATTAGAAAGGCTAGAAACCCCAGCACAGAGAGCTCCAGCAAGGGGGAAACAAAACATGGGACAGCAGTGAAATGGATTTCACCCTATTGATTGGAAATGGGGATATGACTGAATGAGGAAATACTTTAATTTTGTTTGGCCAGGGAAAATGGCCAATGGGCAGCAGAAAGTGGTTTGGAAATAAACATTCTGAACAAATGCCAGGTATTCTTATCTTTACTGGTTATTTGAATTTAGGCACAATCACCCGAAGGGAGGGTAAATAACCGGTCCATACAAGTGCGTCCCCGAGTGCCCACCTGGGACTATAAAACGCCAGCAGGGCGGTTCACGTTTGATGGCACCTGACCTTGAAAACTCAGCTTAAATCACTTTCTTTGATCACGCCTTTCACTCTACAACTCTTAGCACCATAAAGTCCATCTTTAATTGAACTTACTTTTGAAGTTCCAAAGTTTTTTATTTAAAAAAAATAAATTTAAGAAAATAAGCATGGACATGAAAAGGGTAAGCCGCAGCAACCATTATCATGATCAGGTGAGTGGTTCTGCAGGGCTTTTCCTATGCACATACAGACATGAATAGGTCAGTATTATCAAAATCATTTTTTGCCCAACTATGATTAAATTCTTTGTTGGATAAACAGTCTTGGTGTATTCTATGCCCGCAGGAGCTGTAGGAAGAGAGTGTTTAAAACCAAAACAACTACATTTCAGGCCCAAGGAAAGTATAAAACAGAAACAACCCTTTTAAATGAGAGCGGAAACACTCTTTTCTCACTGTGGAGTGGGAAATAGGATTTGAGAAGCAGCATCAGCTTATGTTTTCTTCAGCCCCTTTCATCACTGTTATATAGAGTAAGCATTAGATTAGTATTTCTTGAGTGAATGAGAAATTGTCTTCTTTTATAGTGGCTTTACTTTGGGTTAAATATTGTCAATATCAAAAAAGTAATAGAAACACATGTATCCACATGGAAATGTTATAAAGAGTGCTCCAAAGAAGATTATAAATCTTATTATCATCCATTTTGGATTATTCAAGCCAGGATCCACTTCTGTTTTTACTGTAACTGACATATGAAATTAGCCCTGTTGCTTTTTGCCACTTTGGAGTTTCTGAGACTTTGCCGCCTCATTCCGTGACATGAATTTTCATGTGTGCACGTGTGCACGCGTGTGTATGTGTATGCATGTGTATGCAAGCTTGTTTTGTTCTCTGAAGTGAATTGTAAGCTCTGTAAGAGTGGGGAAGTTTCTTTTGATTACTTTTGTATTCTCCCAGCACTTGGTACATGTTCTGCACACTGTAGACATTAAATTAAAGTTTGTTGACTTTACGGAGTATTCTGACTGTGTTAGTTTAGTTTGCTAGGGAGGCCGTAACAAAGTAGCACAAACTGGGTGGCTTAAGCCACAGAAATGTATTGTCTCACTGTTCTGGAGGCCAGATCTGAAGTTGAGGTGTTGGCAGGACTGGTTCCTTCTGAGGGCTCTGAGGGAAGGATTGTTCCAGGCCTGTCTCCTTGGATTGCAGATGGCTGTCTTATTCTGTCTCTTCACATCATCTTCATCTTCCCTTAGACATATCCGTCTGTGTCCACATTTTCCCTTTTCATGCAGACACCAGTTGGATTAGGGCCCATCCCAATCACCTCATTTTAACTAATTATACCTGCAACGGCCCTTTTTCCAAATAAGGTCGAATTCTGAGGTACCTGGGGTTAGGACTTCGATATATAAATTTGGGAGAAGGACACAATTCACAGGTAGTGATCTTCCGCAGAATCTTAAAAATTCAGAGTGAGAAGAGGCTTTTAAATTTTAAACATCACTGAATTTGCCTACCTGATACCTGAATTCTTTCTTCCCCCAAGCCAAGAAGAGCATTTAGAATTTTAATATTTTTGGCAACAGGATTTTAGGGTTGTTTTTGTCTTTTAACGTGTCTGCGTTTGCTTTCCAGAATGGTTCCCACTGCCGAAGCCCCAGAGCCTTCAGAATGTCTGCAACAGGTACACACCACCTAGGAAAGCCTATCTTTCAGCAGGGTTGAAGGGACATTTCCCCCAGACCTCAGTCTGCTGAACACCCTGCCCCTGCGCACCTTGAGCAGGGGGGCCCTCAGCCCCAGGAAGATGCCTCTGGGAGAGGCAGCCACCTGTGAGTCTGTTAGTTTTTCTCTATGAACCATTTTACTTTCAGTGAGTTTGGTCATTAAAATTGTTTTGTGCCCCTCAACCATGCCCAAGGCTCTGAGAGCGAGGGAGTGTTGGCCTGTAAGAAAACCTAGTGGGTTTATTATTCTCCAACACAGAGAAACCAAATAACATCATTGAGTGGCTATTGGAGGTGGGGGACAACGTGATTCATGGAGGTCATGCTTTCCCAGGCCCTCTCTACGCAGTCTCGGCTCAGACCAGGGCAGACTTTTATTACCAGCTTTCAACAAATCCCTAGTTTCTTTTGCAAAGTAAAACAGATAATAGAGACATTCCCGGAATAGTTCGCTAACTAAGCCGTGCCAGGCAACCTCAGGGCTAAGAAGAACTCAGTGTTTTCGGACAATGACCAATTACAATAACCAGTATTATTTGATCTGAGAGTAATTAGCCGAGGCTCTGTTCTTTTTGCTTCAGTGAGGAGGCAAAAAGGGCAGTGAGGAAAACATCAGAGACAGGGGAAAGGAGCTCAAATGTCAAAGGAAAACACACTCTCGCAGGTGGGGAGAAGGGAAAGAGATCCTAACGGAACGTTTGAACGTTGTTCTGCCCTGAAAAATGTGGTAGGGTTTAACCCAGCCGAATTTTGTTTGATTTTCTCCCTACTTACTGTTCATGGGCTTTAAAAAGCCTCCGTGGAGAGTGAATGTCAGAGCACAAAGAGTAAGATAGGTCGGAACAGAGAACTGCGGACTAGCAAAGGATCTTTTTCGGGAGGAACAATTTTCCCCAGGGTGTCCACACGCTCCACTCTTATTTTCAAATGCACTGTGTCACCTGAAACTCCCCACTGTTTTGGAGACAGGTTCCAGGGAACTGTTTATCTTCTCGTTCAAGATGTGCAGACTTCCTCTCGCCAGCATAGTCAGGCTCCCTAACCCCTCGCTAGAGAGATTTGGATTTTAGCGCTCTCCCATGGCTTTCTTCCGTTTCACCATTGGCTTCCAAAATAAATGGTAACTCCAAACCTGCAGACCACTTTAATACCCACCGCTGCTGTCGTTGGCGCTGCCCCCTGGCAGAAGAAAGCACCATGAGCCCCTTGCAGTCACCTTACCGGCCCTTCCTTCCAGGCTGAGCAGGACTTGGATTCACTGAATGTCCCTCTGGCTTTTCTGATCCACACAACACCCACTCTGCCTTCACTCAGACTTCTGGCTTCTCTCTGCTCAGATTCTCAAAGCAAGGAGTCATGTCTAGAGATGTGCTGCCTAATATAGTAGCCACTAACCATGTGTGGCTATTCTAATTTAAACTAGCTTAAATTTAATTTAAAATTCAGTTACTCCAAGGATTTACTGTATCGCACAAGGAATTACATTCAATGTCTTGTAATAACCTATAATGGAATATAATCTGCAACAGAAAACCCCCAAAACTGAATCACTATGCTGTACACTTGAAACTAATGCAAAATTGTAAATCAACTATACTTCAATTAAAAAAAAAACTTAGTTGCTCAATTGCACTAGCCACATTTCAAGGGCTCGACAGCCACATGTGAGTAGAGGCTATCGTATGGGACATGGCAGAAATAGAATATGCTCGTCATCATGGAAAGTTCTGTTAGCCAGCATGGGCCTAGATTATCACGAGAGAAAATTCTTGGCTCTGAGAAGGGCTTTGTCATTGAAAGAGGACTAAGGTTAGGTGGGATGTTTGCTCTGAGCCTAACAGGGGGCTACATATATTATTTCATTTATTCCTCACAAATCTCCCCCTCGTTTTAAAGAGGAGGAAACTGAAGCTCAAGGAAGTTCAGTAACTTGGCCAAAGTCTTCAAGCTAGGTAAGCAGCGGGGCTGGGATTCATCTGGTCGCAGGTCTCTGCGGCTTTGTCAATTGAGTCAGGTTGCAAGTGTGATGAGTAAAGAGCAACCTAGTTGTCACTGGCTTTTTTACAAGATTTCTGCAGAGGAACTGTGCCCGGCCTGGAAATGCACCTTGGGGCCTTGTCTGGGGTTTGATGGTGACCCGATTAATGTGGCCCTACGAAGTGCACACTCACTCATTAGATTGATTGGAAAATTATCAGGGAGCTTCTCTGATGGTGTTTCTCCCTAGTGTTGAGTATAGTTCTTATCTGCAGATATCTTCTTTACCATATCTTTAACTGACAACTTTGAAAAAGTACCCAGTCTCCTGAAAAAACAACAGAAAGGTCATTACTGAAGAAAAAAAAAAAAAAGATGATATTTGAGTAAAGAATAAAGCCCACAGTTTACTTAATAGTATTGTGGCAATATTAATGACTCAGTTTTGAGAATTTTATTCTGACTGTGTAAAATCTTAACATGAGGGGAAGCTAGGGAAACATAAAAGATAACTCTCTGCATTACTCCCAAACCTCTTCTGCAAACCTAAAATCACTTCAAAATAAAAGCAATTTGAAAAATGAGGGGGGAAAATGCCTACTCTATCCCTGCCCTTCTTTTCTTTCTATAGATCTAGAGAAAAACAACAAAGAACTCAGCTGAACTCACAGTGACTAGTCTTGTGCTGCAGATAAAGCCCTCCACCGTCACCCTGGTGGCAGCAGTGGCAGTGGGAGACTTCCATGCTCAGAGCCAGGCTGTGCTAAGAAATCAAGGCTGTTGCCTCAGGCCCCTGAGAACCACCAGATCCCAAATGTGTTGACTGACAGGCTGGTTGATGGTGCTTTACACAACCACAGAGCCTCATTTTCATTTTTTCTTATTGTTTGTGTGTCCAATCTGGACTTCTAAAATTAAATGTGGATGTCCTCACACCCAGGACAACTTTTAGGGGTGACTGACAATTGTAATCCTTTTTACTATTTTTATAAGCAGTAGGGCCCCTGGCAATTCAGGTTGGGTGGAATGAATTTGTTTCCTTTGCACGCACAGACAGGAACTGTCCTGGGCTTCTGGTGGACATGGAAATTGGCACAATTAGCTGATATTCTTAATCAAGAAGTTTAACATGTGTAGTATCCTTCTACCTAGGAGTTTCAACTTTCAGAATTACTACTAAGGAAATCATTGCACAAGTACACAGAGGTTTCTCTTTGAAGATATTTGTGGCAGCATGATTTTAGTAGTAGCCCCTCACACGCCAACAGGAAAGGAAACAACTTCGGTACGGGTTTGGCTATGTGGATTATGGTATATCTACATAAAGGAATGCTATGTAGTCATTAAAACTATGTCCTAGAAGGCTCTTCAAAGTCCTGAGAATATGATCAAGATAGTAAAGTGCATAAAGTGGGTTAGCACAGCATGTAGAGGATGATCCCGTTAGTTTGTTTCCTTTTTGTAAAACAAAAAATATATCTGCATAAAAATAAAGAGATAAAGAAGAATAAGCAGTAAAGCTGGTGATGATTATCTTTGTGGGAAGGAGGGTACCTCAGAGTGATGGGATAGTTCTCATCTTCATTCTCTGCATTTTCTAAGTGTCCTACAAAAAACATGTATTATTTTGGTAATGGAACACTTCTCACTTCTGGAAATGTTACTAGAAGGAGAGGTTCATGAGAGGATGCTTTGTCTTTGTTAACAGACTCTCATTGATTGGGTGGATGAGTTCTCACTTTGCAAGGTACCCCTGGTGTGTTCTGTAGCTAACATCACAATTCTAACAAATAAAATCGATTAACATTTAGCGTACATGGAAAGTGCCGATGACCGGTAGGCAAATTAATTCTGTGATATTCGCTTTTTGTGCCAACTTTCATTTCCAAAGTAGGGGTTGTAACCAGTGAAGACTATTCCGATAGGAGTTAGAGGAGGTGGCCAGCTGTAGAAATGTGACAATAAAGGCAGTGGGTAGTCAGGAAGACTACAGGTGGCAGGAAGAAGCAGAATGCTACAAACATGGAAGTAAATTAATGTTTGTGCCTGGAGAGGCAACCTCTGTATTCCTGAGTCTCTTTTCTCAGCTCCCAAATAGGAGTGCATTGTGCTAATAGCAAGGTAGAGAGTCTGGACGCTTGTCCAGATCAGGTGCTGCTGCTGACTGCCGCTCCTCAAGGCTTATGGCCAGGAGGGAGCGTATTTGGTTTACACAGGCAAGACCAAAGTGAAATCGGCTCACAGGAAGAAAAGCCTTCGTTTGTGTACTTTGCTCCAGTCACTGCCTCTGCCAGTTAAGGAACAGAGGCAGGCAGTGGCAGTCATGGTTTGAAGGCCATGAGGCTGAAATAAATCCCAGCACCTCTAAAAGCCTTGATACACCCTTGTGGGGATGGCTTGGGGAGGGTTGTTCAGCTGAAGAGGAAAATCCTAAAAAGGAAGTCCTCATGTTACTGACAGATTCCTACTCTCCTTTCTCTCATTTGTCTGGCAAAAGTGGCCTGTTCTTCTTGTATGTGTCCCTACTACCCTGGTAAGCTCCATTGGCCTTTCATGGCTTCCCCAGCCACCCAACATAAATACAGTCTAAATAAAACCAGTATGTATGCTGTGCTAACATGAGATCAAAACAGGTCCCCTAGCCTTCCTTGTCCAATCAGATTGCAGCTCCTAATGGGTGGGTGTGCTGCTCAGAGGGAACAAATCTGTTGGGGGTGGGGAGTGTGGAGGTGGATGCTGATAGAGGCATTGCTCCCCCCTCACTGTAACCGCCCATGCACCCACCCACCCCCTAGGAAGTTCAGAGAGTGGGTTCAGGCCCGAATTTTGGCACACATCTCACCCTACCACCTTGATAGTGAGAATGAACTGGTTAAAATTTTTTTCACAAGGTTTTTCATGAATCTCCTTCCAGATGGATACCAGGTCCTAGGGATTTGTACCAGCTTCCCCACTCCAGACTCCTATCTCACTGGCCCTGAAAACCTGCACCTGAACAGGGCATCCTGGCTGGAGAACATATCTGCCTGCCCTTCAGGTCACAAACTACTAAGCAGGACTCCACCCCAGGTTCCCTTCTCTCCTAACTGGCCTGGAAATTTGCAAGGACTGGGAATTTGCAAATTTCTTCTCTACCTTAAGTCTATGAAGCAATTACTTTTGAATTTGAGGGTAAAGTTTTATGTTTGTAGAAACAATTTTATGTCATGGGAATCAGATACCTAAAAGTTTTTTAATGTAAATCTTATGCAAAAGTCAGGCAAATTACACCTCTGGGCCAAGACTTCCAGCATCACTGCATCATGGCACCTGAGAAGGAAAAGAGTATCTGTTTGTCACTTCAGGTGGGTGCATACCAACATTAAGCCCATCTATTTTTGCTTAATTGGGCAGTTGCATGGACATGCAACTTAATTCTGAATGTCAGGCATCAGTTCTGTAGATAATTGCTTCTCAAGATCTGCACAGTTTTCTGCCTTGTGATTTTCACTGGTAAACCAGTCCATGGGCTCTAGAGATGGATGTGCTTAAATGATGGACACTAGATTAGCAAAGCTTTTCAGACATTGTCCGTAAATAGGAAGCATAAAGACCTACATCCAGGACCAGCCCCAGTCCCTCCCCAGCTTCATATCAGGCCCCTCTCCTCTTCTTAGTCCCAGGCAGCCAACTGGCCTTTCTTCCCTTCTTTAAAATCGCTCTTCTCCCTCCCACCCAGGGGTCTGCAACACCTGCCCCTCCCCTGCCCCAGTTCAGCTCTCAGCTCAAATGCCGCTTCCTCAAGGAAGTCCTCCCTGATCACCTCCTAAATTAGAAATCTGGACCTTTTTCTTCACAGTTGTACTTATGCATTTGTATGATCATTTGGTTAGTGCCTGACTCCTCTACTAGATTACACTACCAGAAGGCAGTCTTTCCTGTAGCACCCGGATCCAACTACCTACATAGTGGTTGCTCAGCTAATGGCTTTGCTCATCTCCAAATTTGTAATTCAACATAAAGTCAACTTGAGGATTTGTTTCCATTGTAATTTGGATACTTAACTGTCTTTGTTTCCTATGTTCCATCTCAAGGGAAACCAATAGAGCTTCTTAGAGAATAACCCTGGGAACACTGTAAATAAGGGTGTTTTCCACCCAAGTTTCACCCTCCAGAGTCTCCTCTCTCCCTCTTCCCCTTCCAGGATTCTATGCTTGCAGTTCTTGGAGCGTATTTCCAACCGGGCTTTTCTGCTTGCTAGGGGCTGCTGTGTTCCTCAAGGAAAAATCCTTAATTATATATTTCTGTTTCTATAATTACAATTCCAGGTCCTTTATGCATTCATGGTACCCAGAACCATAGTGGAGGGAGTCGGGTAGGGGATGAATGATGGAATCCTGAAATTACCCCTTCATCTTAGTAACAGGACAAGGTGAGGGTTTTGGTGTGGGGGTTGTTTTCCCACTTGCCATCAACTTCACTAATCCCAGGAAAATTCTATCTGAAGCTCTTCTCACCATCTCCTTTTCTTTACTTTTCTTCTTTCCTGTTTTTCAGAAGGGAGGCCTCTGGTGAAACTCTTTTTCTCTCTCACTTTTCCAGGTTGGGCAGGGCTCCGGAAGCTGAAGACCTGGCCTCCCAAATGCTGAAAGGCTTTCCGAGAGACCGCGTCTCCGCCCAGGAAGCACTGGTTCACGGTTATTTCAGTGCCCTGCCGGCTCAGCTGCACCAGCTGCCTGATGGTGAGCAAGGGTGTGTGTGTGTGTGTGCGTGCACGCGTGTGCGTGTGCATGTGTGTGTGTTTGTGCGTGTACACATATAAGTCTCAGTGCCTACGTGTTTTCTCTGAGCATTGAAGAAGCATAGACTTTGCAACCAGAAGTGAGCTTAGATCTGGGAGAAGCAAGATGGGACCAAATCTTGCCTGAGTTTTGTTTGAGATTTTCTAAAACTCAGAAGTTGAGGGTTGAGGTGACACAGACCTCCTTGTAATGATCCAAACATTTCCCATCTACACACATGTAGAAATTGGATGAGATGAAAGTTGCCTCTGAGTTTGCTTTCACTCGCATCTGCCAGGAGAGGCAAAACCAAAGTTTCTAACAATCCCCTTTTCTCTTTCCGTGGAGAGTAAGATGACAGGAGACACTGGTGTATCAGGAGAGGAGAGCTGGGCCCGTCTTGATGGCGCTCCCCTCTCCCCGCCGCCGCCGAAGGAAGTCCAGGCAGGGCGGGGCGCGGGGAGAGGGGAGCGCCCTCCCAGGCTGGCTGTCCACGGGAAACACAAGTTACCCTGAAATCAGCTTTGCTGCCTGGGCCTGAAGTCATCCTCCAAATCTGAAAACTGCTGAGGGATCATGTGGCTGGAGCACTCCTCATGTTTCTCAGAACGTGGCCAGGAAGGGCTGTGCGGAGGATGTGGGCAGTGCAGTCACGGCCCCGGCTGTTGGCGGGGGACCGTCAGGAAGGTCTAGGGACTCAGACTGGAAACAGGGTACTGGGATGGGGTGGGGAGCTACCGTCCAGGAGGCTTGGACATACGGTCTGGCCAAAGTCCCCAGGTTTGCAAACACAGCTCCACTGTATCTGGGACATTGCCCTGCTTCAGTCCAGAGCTCCTAGTTTGGGACTTCTTGAGGTGTTTTATTGTTAAAGTAGCCATTTAGGATCTCCAAAAATAACCATAATCATACAACTGGGGTTAATGTCTTACTTAACCCTGTAAGAGGAGTCAGTCATCAGTATTTATTAAGTTGCTATTAAGTGTCAAGAACATATTAAGTGCTATAAAATTTGAGGCAAAAAGGAGGCTTGTCCTTGACCTCAAGGATCCTATGAAGTGGGAGGAAAAGAGGGTGAAGAAGAGGAAACAGGACACCCTCATACACATATTAGCACAAATCATATCTAAACAGCTGAAGTCTGTGCATAATCAGCTGCAGATGTTCAGAGAATATGTGTGTGCTAAAGGCAATTCTTTGGAGGAACTAGAATAACTCAAGTAAGATGGATTAAACTGGAGGTGACTCTGGAGTGGAATTTGGAAGGAGGGGAGGGACATGGCTTGGCATATGAGTAGAATAACAGACATTCCAGGGGACCTACAAGTCTTGCTCCCTTCCTGGTGCCTCACCCCCAGCTTCCTCCTCCTCGCCGCCCCCACTCCCATCTCAATACTCTTCCCAGTCCCAGCCCCTAGATCCCTCCTTCTTAGCTTTCTTCTCTTGGGCTTGGGGCTTCTAACTACCACTGCACGAACGTGTACGCACTGGGGTGTACATAGCCGCCCACCCACCCACACACACACTCACACCCTCTTTCTCCACTTAAAGAAATTTCTCCCACAGGCCCCCTCCCAGGATCTATCATTCTATGTACTGAGAACCACTGGGATCCTCAGAGTTTTCTGGGCACCAGCTTTTCCTTGATGAAGAGTAATTAGGAGGAAACAATCACTGTGCACACTGATGTGTTGTTAGAAACTTGAGTTTTGATTCCTCCTGGTCGTCTGAAACAGATTTGCTGCCTCTACTTGTGTGTGTGTGTGAGAGAGAGAGAGAGCGCATGTGCGCGTGTGGGTGTACCACGAGAGGGACCGATCTGTATTCCTTCTCTGTTCACCCAGCCACAGAGCCCAAATCTACTTTGACACTTTTAGAAAAATGAAAAGATGGACTCTTGCAGGAGCCTGCCTGCGCTGGGGGGAGACGAGGAGTGCTCACAGCAGGAGGGAAGTTGACTTTTCTTTATACATATAGGGGTTTTTCCATGCAGAGTTTAAATTATGCCTGATAAAAGGAGTTTCGTGGATGTTTCAGTTCTTTCAAATTCTCCTGGCTTCCTCCCAATTAAATGAGGTTTGTCAAAGCCACGGGGCTCTGCTGCTGCTGCCTCGGCCGACAAGCACTTCCTGCAGCGACATCTCAAATCCCCGAGGGAGAAGATGAAAGGGCCAGCACCAAGAGACAGGAGAAGGGGGGCAGATCGGGGATGTGTGTGTGTGTGTGTGTGTGTGTGCGCGTGCACGCGCGTGCGTGCATGTGGGGGGGGTGCAGAAATAGGTTTAGAGACAGATCGATAGATAGGATGTGGACAAGAAGACAGGGAAAGCAAAGCTACTGAGAAAATTGGAAAGGAAAATAGAGGAAGAAAGAGCAGCCCCTGGGGCCAGTTTGTGCACCTTGGGAACAGTGGCCCTCACCAAGGGCACATCTTCTAAGGGTGCACTCCCTTGGCCTGGCAGTGCCAGCCTACTTTTCCATTGTCCATGGCAATGAGCCTTTATTAACAGCCTCCTTTGCATACGGGGAGCACCAGCCAGTTATCACAGTTCCCAGCCCACAGGGACACAGGCTCTCCATCCCCGGGGTGGGCGGCCCCAGGCATAAAAATTGTGCAAAAAAACGACTTGCTATTGTGAATGGCTTGTAAGGAGAGTTTTCCTACTGTAATTATACAAGAAATTTTGCTCTCTGGTGGCAGTATGGAATCACTTAGGGGGTTGTATTTGTATCATTTTATTATTCCGGTTTTACTCTGGTTGCAGGATAACAAAGTTGACACTTTAAAATATCTTCTATTTCCCCTTTGATCTGGGAGATGCCAGCTCTCATTGTCTGCCCTCTGAGGAAGACAATTTAAGCTTGAAACCTGAGGCTGGGAACTGTATGAAGAGTGGAAGGACAGCTTAAACCCAGCAGAAGAGTGGCACAGAAACTACTCCCAAATATAAGGGTAGCTCCCATCCATCCGTGTCTATTTCCATGGAGCCGAGAGGTCCCAAACAACACTGTCTCTAGGTTGTGGCAGTAAGCTTATGGCCAGAGGAAATCGGGGGGTCACTTGCCACGAAAATCCAGGAATTCTAGGGTTAGTTCCCTTTCGGAGACCATTTTAAGTGGAGTAGCATGAACACTAGAATGGCAAACGTGTGGGAATTTCTGCCAAGTGCTGACATTTTCCCTTATTGACTCTTGAACACCTGAAGAAACATTTGTTGAAGGAGAAATTATTGGTAGTCCCTCTTAAAACACACCCAACAGCAAGCTAATTGCTTTTGCAGATGGCCGGGGAGACTCTCGTCCCGCTCAGTCATCGGCTTACGGCCACGCTTGCCAGCCTCGTGGCTGAGCCAGCAGCGCAGGACGTCAGCTGGGGCAGCTAGGACCTAAAATTAGGCCCTCGGCAACTCTCTAATCTTAGCTGCAGGTTCAGCGTCTTCGTTTAATTCCCTTTGCCCTCAACATGAACTTGGGCTCTGGGAAAAGAACGCCACTTAATGATTTGGGAGTGGGGGGAGCAGAAAATCATTAAGCTGCCCCTTCAAGAAACTGGCTCCACTCTGTTCTTGCAGGGAGCCTTGCAAATGTTACCCTTGCAGAGTTAAGACTGATTTTGGAACCCTGCCATTTTGAACCACAGACACTGATCCACAAAAGTATTTTTTCATCTTGGGCAGTCAGTGCCACGTGATTTAAGAGTCTGGTCCTTAAGCCATGGTTCTTGGTCGTCAGGACATCAAAGGCTGTCTCTCTCTGTGGGTTGGTCCCATTTTACTTTCCAAATCCTGGACTTGAGTCTCTCCCGTTCCTTCCTGGACTAAATCCCCCTTCTCCTTTAAAACAGGTTTCAGCATCTTAGGAAAAAATCCAAAAACTTAAAAGCTCGCAATTGTTTCACAAGTAATTTTGCAGAAACAATTTGCCAAAGTCCTTCTTGTCGTCATAGACTTTGGTACCTGTGGGAATGGAAGAAAGTGCGCCATTTACCTCTGCCCTTCATCACATCATCCTAGTGTTTACACTTGGTGGTTCTTCAACAGGCCTTATTCATACTGCCCCATTAATATATGAGTAATTTTTTGTCTCATGCCTTCTCTTTTTTATTTTATTTTTCTAAATTTCTTTTGAGGGGAGGTAAGTAGGTTTTTATTCATTTATTTATTTCAATGGAGGTACTAGGGATTGAACCCAGGAACCAGGACCTTATGCATGCTAAGCATGTGCTCTACCACTGAGCTATACCTTCCCCCGCTGTCTCAGGCCTTCGCTTAATATTATCTCTCTAATATATTTGAAGTTCCCTTGCTATCACTTTCCAAAGCTCACGTCTCTAGGCTGAGTTCCTTTGACCACCACCCCCAGCGCACCCATTATAGATTCTATTTCCTTTACCTTTTAATTATTTTGTTTCATTATTCTATTGTGAACCTATTCCAATTATTTTGTTTATCTCTGAGACCATGGACCCATCCTAGACTCATGTTTCCAACATAGTCGGATAATTACATTCCAGTTCATTCATGGAAGATTTACTGAGGGCCTGTTAGATAAGAGACTGAGGGATGCAGAAATGAATTAGTCATGGACTCTGTCCTCAAAAAGCTTACAGTCCTTAAGGAAATGAGACAAGTATACAAAAAATGTGAAGTGCTCTGGGAGTCCAAAGGATGTGAGATTAAACTCCAGCTGTGGGGATCCAGGATGGCATTGTGAGTGGGTCTTGAAAGCTGATGGGCACTGGGTGGTTGGGAGGAAGGATATCCAGGGAGAGGAATGCCATCCTCCTCTTGATGCCAGCTACTATCATCGAAGGTGTTTTCTTTTTAATATGAATACTTCATTCCTGACTTATAGTCCATCCTAGGTTTCCATCCACTCCTTACCATTGTCTGCCTTCTTGCAACAATTTAAACATTCTTTAACATGTAATAGTAAAGCTTAGTTTAGCTCTTTGTGTGCTGATGATTTCGAATCTACTCTGTTTATTGCTTTTATTGTCTAGTCTATTCAAAGTTTAACCAGAATATTTTGTCATTCTACAGGCCAGGTTTCCGAGGTTGGGTTTGGTGGGGAAGAGGGGAGAAGGATTCTGAGCCAGGTGTCTTGACCCTATTCTGCTTCTAAGAGTTTATAACCTAACTCAGACAACTCTCTCTGCCTTTTAAATCCTCCATTAATCAATACTTAAGAAGCAAGTTAGGAAGTGTCCTCCATAACACACTTCTTCATCTTCCATGTTCAGTGTTGTCCTCAACCCACTCTAACACATTAGAACACAGATGTTGGGTTGAGACATGGCTGATGCTGCTGCATAGAGTCATGTTGGTAGGAAAAGTCTGGGTAAACCAAGTCCCTCAGCCCTACCAGGCTCTTAAGTTGGTTGAAGTTGTTAGCATCATGGTCTGAAAGAATCTCCAAATAAAGATAAGTGCTTCGGGAAAGAGTTAGAGACTCTGTGAGTAGAAAAGGGTCTTGAGACTCCCTATTCTATATCTTAATTATATCGATGCGTCCCTGACAGCCAGGGAAGAATAAACGTGGCTGCTCTTTATTGGGTATCTAGTACTTTACATAAATTCTCATTCAATCTATATGCCAACTGACAAGGCTGAGTTATTATCCTTATTACATATTAGAAAGCTGGGACCAAGAGCGGCTAAGTAAATTGCTCAAGGTCATACAGCTGGTAAGTAGGAGAGCCACGATTTGACTGCTGGACAGACTCCACAAGCCAGTTTCTTCTCTGTCTTCACTGCTGCTTGACAAAGATCACATGAGAATTTAGTAGCAAAACAGGGATTAGAACCAAGATCTTGATTCCTAGTCCTGTGACCTTTCTACTGTCTCATGCTCTGTGTTTAATTTAAAGCCTTCCCAGGGAAGAGTCCCCATGTCCCCAGGTAACATGTTTAATATCTCACAATTAAGAGGGCTCAATTTTATGTTTAATAAAGACTCATGCCTTTGACCTCTTCCTTAATACTCAATGTCATCTTGTCTTTGGTTTTTTTTTTTTAAAGACAGTCACCCTTGGGTTTTAGAATTTCTTAATCAGTGGTGGCTATTATTTTTTCTTACTCTCACTCAATTTTGTAAGAAAAATATCAAGAATCCAATGGAAAATTGGGCAAAGGCATAAAATAGCAATTTGCACAAAGGAAACCAAAAGAACATACCAACACATGGAATAAATAGTCTTAGTAGTGATTAAATAAATACAAATAACTGTTAAAGTAGTTATTTTTCCCCCTCAACTTAATGACTCCCAGTGCTGGGGAGGTTGTGGTAAATTGATTCTCTGCAGATGGTAGTATATGCGGGGACAACCTTTACAAAGCATTCTGCCATACCTATTAGGAGCCATAAAAGTGGTCACAACATTCAACCCTATACTTTGGTTCCTGGAAATTATCCAAAGAAACAACTGAACAGGAAAAAAAAAACCCTAGATGCATAAAAATATTCATTGCAGTGTTGTCTGCAATTTTAAAAATTCTAAAATAAGGATGAAAGAAACGATCCTAAGTATTCAACACAAGAGAACTGATTGAATAAATGCTGTGATATTGACTGAGCATACAGTACTATGTAACCATGCAAAACGGTAATTCCCAGGAGCATGGGCTAATATGGAAACATTTATGCTATGACACAAGTTAAAAGAACGTCGAGTATGAAAATTGCATATTATAATGCACCTGTGAAAACGTATTATGCACATCAACAAAACAGAAAGGTAGAGTACAAAAATAAAATGCTCTCCTAGTTGATGGGGATTGTGGGTAATTTTCCCCCTTTTTCAAAGTTTTCTTTAATGTTGATGTTATACTGCCTTCATTGTTCAAAGGAATGAGGTAAGACCCATGGTACAGGAAGTCAAGCTCTGGATTAAGAATTAAAGAACCTGTGTTTTCTTTTTTTTTCCCCCAGCATCACATGCGTTATTGGTCTTCATAAACCTCAATTTCTCAATCTGCACAATGGGTTAACACTAGTTTTCTGTACCCCAGATTGACAGAATGTTTATTTTATAAAGCTTTTAACTCACTGAATTCAAGGGTTCATATAAATGTGGTCCTGGGAGAATGAGAGGAGGGAGGGAGAGGAAAAGATAAATAGGCACTAATTAATTTTAAAAGGAAAGATCATCTGCTTTAATCGGAAATGCATATGTGCTGTGCCCCTAGTCAGAGTTTTAAGTGCACTCCATGTTAGTTAGCAACTTCAATTTAAAGTACTGTGTGATCCTTTGGGCTTTGAAGATATGAAGCCTGTATACATACACATGAGCTAAAATTACCACGTAGTCACGGAGGCTGTGTGGACTCTGCATAATTAAATGCACTAAGCAACTCCAGCTGATGGATTGATGATGTGTAAGAGTAGCAGAGAAACCACGTGACGAGGGAAATTATAAGACATTTTGAAATGACGGTTTAATTTCCAAGCTTTCTTTTCAACTTGTGCTTTCTCTTTCAGCCATTACAGGCAAGTGGAAGAGATTTGATTATCTTGTTTCCTGTGAAGGGTTATTTAGCTCCTCAATCCCATTCAGTCACTTTCTGCACTCGAGTGCACCAAGCCTTCACCAGGTTATCAGCCCAGGAAGAGTAAATGGAGACACCAGGATCAGATTTCTAAAGGGCGGAAAGTTAAAGCAGAGTTGGAAAGCGGTGACAGCCAACAGCCAGGAGCGCAGGAACTCAATTAGACTGAAAGACAACTATCTCATTATCTCATTCCGAAATGATCTAAATACATAAGAATCTAAAAGTTTTAAATAAACTTGTCCTACTGACTGTCTAGATGCCTGAATTTCCCTTCTCAAAATATTTTTTAAACACCCACTTTTGTATTTATTTATTCTAAGCGCAAAGCAGCTGCGATAATTATGCTGTCAGATTCAGTAAGCTAATGAGGAGTCAGCGAATGGAAGGTTTTGCATTTGTGAGATTGCTGCAGGAGAACCACTCGGCTGCTTTTTTCCTCCTTTTTTTTTTTCCTCTTGTTTTCCTTTTCTTTTTCTATGAGTTGGGGAGGAGAGTCGGGCAGTCCATGGCCAAATTGGAATCCCTTTGATTAACTGGTTGCTTTCCCAGCACGGTTCTGCCACACAATGTTCCTCCCTCTCTCTTTCCTTTTCTCTCCCTCCCTCCTTTTTACTCTCTCCTTCTGTCTCCCCCCTTCTCTCTTCTCCCTCCCTCCTTGCTATTGAGGAGCTGCTGCTTTTGAGGGAAATCTTCCTGTCACTGTCCCCAAGACAAGAGGACACTTCTCCCTGAGGGAAGTTCTCAAGATGGTTTGGACTTGAGTCAATTTGAGAGTAATCTAAGATTTAACATGCACTGTTTATTTGAACTGTTTGACTGTTTAGGCTGTGACATGAGCTAAAAGAAAGTTGAATACAAAATTGTGCATTAAAATGCACCTGGGAAAATACATTAGCTCATCAACCAAACTTGATGTCTCCCCTTTCCAGTCTAGCAAATGCATAATTCCAAACCAACTGCAGAGTCAGGACCACAGATTACCCAAGGCAGTGAAGACAGCCGGTGTTGTAGGTCTATTTCTACCCCTAGGGTGTGAGCAGCTTCGAGCAAACAATATTATGAAGGCATTTTCTGGTGCACCAAAGCTGGAGCTTCTCTTATTGTTAGATTGTGCGATATTTAGAACAACCCAGGTTTGTACAGCTTGTGAGCCTTAGAAAAGCAATGCCCAAGTACAAGGATGTCCTGAGCTGGTTTTGTGGATGTGCTTTGCTGACAATGTGGCTGTTGATTCTTGATGTTTTTCTCAAGTGGTATCTATGCTGAAGCTTGTAACAGTGGCTACTAGTTATTAAAAATATATTGTGCTTCAAGAACAACCCAGGATGCTTAGCATAGATTATCTTCTTTAAACTTGGAGCAGCCTGCCTGGAAGTTTTATTATCCTTATTTTGCAGATGAGCCCCTTAAAATGTTAACTTTCAGAGGACTTGGGCCATAACTTTAGCATAGTAAGCACCCAGGGACAACACACATTTAACAAACACAGGCATTTATAAAAATGCAAACTGTCAGCATTCTGAGCTAGCCAAATACATGGGTCAGAGGCACAGGTAGTACACATATATTTCAAAACATTTTTCTTAATTTACAAAAATTGTACCTTTGAGTCTATTTAAATAGATTGCTACGTGTATCTAATGTAACAGAATTTGAAACTTCCCAAAACATAGTATCCCAGCACGATGCTCATGACCTGTCATCACTGGGACTCACGTTCAGACTCCTTGGCTTGATAGTAACTTCCTTCCATTTTCCCAACTTTATCTTCTAGTCTGTCTTGCCCTAACCCTGCAAGATGACTTGCAGTTCTCTCGAACACTTTCTTTCCTCTATGCCTTTGCTCGCACTGATCCCTCAGCCAGGAGTACCCTCCCTGGAAGTCCTTGACCATTGAGAGCATCCTCATCCTTCAAGGTTCAGAAGGCACTTGTCCCTGCTTTTCCTGTGCTCCTTGGGAGACTCAGGACAAGGGCTGCCATTAGTCTTTGTTTGCACCTCTCTTCTGGCCCTTGTTATTGTGTGTGTGTGGCTCCCAGTTCTATTCCTATTTTTACCATCTTCAACATCAAGCATAATGCCTTACCCAAGCGTTCATTCGGTAAATATGCATTGAACTGAATTGAATGGGAGGCACTTGACAGCTGTTCAGTAAAGTGAGTTTTCCATGAGTCAGTATAAATTATTGGTGGCTAAGTCTGGCTCACATTTTGACATCTCTTCAGGTGACAAATATTGAAACAGACATGAAAAATACACCATGAAAGATCCCAGGAAATAATATGTTGGTGCTTTTCTCTCTTCTTCCCTACAGAAGAGTCTTTGTTTACAGTTTCGGGAGTGAGGCTAAAGCCAGAAATGTGTGACCTTTTGGCCTCCTACCGGAAAGGTCACCACCCAGCTGGGTTTAGCAAATGCTGGTGAAAAGAAAAGGCGAGATCACCAAGATCTTTGCAGGTAAGTGGTTCCACTAGTGAGGCTCCTCATGGATGGAACTGAAGATCCATCACTGTCGGGTGAAGATCTGATCCACGGGTTCAGAGCCCCTCTTCTGTGCCCAGCTCTTCATTCCCACTCTGGGGACCGGGGCCTTGGGTTTGCAGGCTGTGAAAAAGGGATGGCAGCATGCACCACCTCCCACTTATCTCAGAGTGATAAGACTTCTGAGACAGCATTTACAGGTCACCCACCATAAGGCCTTCAGCTGATCCATGTGGAATACTTGACTTCACTGGCATGTTAATTCCCTTAACTACAGAGTTCTGTTGTCAGCTGATAAGACAAAAATCAGAGGTCAGGGTGACCAGCTGTCCCCATTTGCTCGACTCAGCAGTGTCCCAGGATTTAGGATGTTCAGTGCTAAAACTAACACAGTCCCAAGTAAACTAGGATGGTTGGTCACCATAGTGGTGCAAATTACCACCTGGCCTGCCACCAGGAGCCAGAGAAGACCTGGGTCAGAGTCTGGCTCTGCCCAGAAGGTAGACCCAGTCATCACTGCTACAGGCTTCCTAGGCTACACCTTTTGTACCATCAGTTACAGGGAGTCGTCTCCAGGGTGAGTTCTGGGAACCACAAGGACCTGGTAGGGAGGCAGGAGCCACCCACAATGTCACAGACTCAGCTGCCCTTGGGAGTCTCCTCTGTCAGCCCAGGGCAGCCAGCCTTCCGAAGTGGAGGAGGGGACAGGGTGCTGTGGAGGATTTTCCCAAAGCAACCACACCCTAAAGAGTTCTGCTGGTGGGCACAGAAAGCCAGGTGGGGTGACTCCAAAAGCCACCGTCGTACAGACGTCCCTAGATGTTACAAAAACACTTCTCATCCTGGAGATTCCATGGTGGGTAGAGGGGTCAGAAGTCTAGATAGAGGAATCAAAGTGGAACCCATGCACAGAGCCAGCCAGCCCTAGAGGTGATTTGGCTGAGCATCTGGCAGCCACAGTTCGCCGTGCTTCCTAACAGGACTTCTGGGGCCTGGATGGTAACAACTGGCATGCTCCCTGCACCACCCTGGCCCCAATGTTACATGGCAGGATTCAGCTCTTTGCCAATTTGTCTATTAAAGGCACATACACATCAAGGATGTCTGCCTTTTGGATCTTCTAAGATCATTGTGTTTAGAAATTTGGAAAGATCGAGGAAGTTTAGAATTATAGCTGTTCCTCAGAGCATTTTGTGAAATACTGAAGTTTGTATTTTGACAATATACAACTGGAATTACAACAGGCAATACAATAATAATGTGGAATTTCCCAAGTAAAATATTTTCTAGAGCAGAGATTTTACTGTGTAATTATGCCCTTTAAAACCCACTAGTTATGAGAATAGACTGTACTTGAGCTACAATCTATAACACGAAGGATTTGCCCTTCATAAAATTATCAAAGACATTGATGGAAATGGTCCCAGATGGTGGAACTCCATAAGCAGTGACAGTGATTTCTCTTGGTGTTGTTATTTTGTTTTACTAAGCAGCCAGAAGGCAGGGAGATAACCCTGCCTCTCTGATCTATAGTCACTTTCCACAAAGAATCATTACCTGTAGGTATAAATTGGTCACAATTGAAAATCAATTAAATGCAGCGTGACAAACTTGGTGCCTGTGCCAGCAGTTGAAGAAGGGAGGCGGGAGATTTAGCCTCTGTTGGAGCAATCTCCTGATGTCCCTAGGCCTTGGTGCTAATGTAAGGAGATAAAACCCGTGGGAGATGAACCACAATAGGGAGAAGCTGGAGCAATTAAACTGTTTAATAAACGGCTTGGGATCAGCGAAATCTGGGAGTGCTGGAGTCAGGGACTAAGAGTGGTAATCACAGGGACACGTGGGGCCTGTAAATCTTTTCCACTAAATTGAATTTATGTTAAAATATTCACTTCCCAGGAGATTCAAAATGTAAATTGGGATATTAGGATTTATAACTAGCAGCAATGGCTCAAAATTAGGACTCTCAAAAGAGCCTCAAAAATGTAAGCTTCAGGTATATGGGGAAAAAAATGGATACTAATGTCTACAATAGAGAAATGAATCTAAACTTTACTGGGTAAATACCACGTGCCGAGCACTTTATACACATATTACTTCAAAGCTGGGTGTGTTTTGAGCAGTGTGGTGAGGTACAACTGTAGTTTGTATATCTGGAGATAGATTTTGACTATTTTTAAAGAGGCTGCCTCTGTTAAAATCAATTATCACCTTTTCTACCCATATCTATATATAATTCCATTAATAATTTTGCAATAGTATTTAAGAGGATTCTTTACTCAATCTGTAAAATGTTATTCATTATTTTGATTTTTTTTTAATAATTTTTCATTCACTTCCAGGGCTACCTTACTGCTGTTTCCGTTTTAATTTGCTTCATCTTCCTAAGAAACTCCAAATCTAACTCTACACTGGACCAAGGGTTTTATACCATCATCTTCAATATGATGTCCAAGGCAACAGTACATAATACTTGAAGAAAAAGCAATGAAAGGTTGTTGCTGTTGCTATTTGCCTAGAATTTAATTGAATGATTGGCTCAAAAATTAGATATAGACTTAAATCACCTGAGAAGAGGACTTCTGAATAATTTCACCCATTTCATTATTTGATAGAGAGATCCCTGGGCCAGAAGAGAACAGGACAGATGGGAGGCTGACAGTTGAAAGAATTTGGAGACAGAGCTGGTGCTTACAGAGGCCTGTCACTCTTGTGTTCACTTACAATTTTCCCCCAACAAAAGGACTTCTGTGGCAAGGGCAGGATTAGCCTAAAGTTTAGAAAAGTCTCCAGGGAAGGTGGTGTCTTGGATAAAGTTGCCAACAAAAGGACTTGCTTAAGACTCTTTGTTATGACTTCCTAGGGGCGCTTCTTTCACTAACTAGATTATCAAACACGTTGCCACCCCACCCCAGCCAAATTTTAGGAGTTTGGATTGAGCTGCTGGTTAGAATTAAATTTCAGCCCATCTCCTTCTACTGAACCCTAATTGTCTGTGATGATAGCAAAAGTGATGAGAAATCTCAGCTCTGATTTGATGGTAGAGATACTGAATAGATAGGAGCAAAGAGTTCCAAAGCTGTAATTCAAGTCCTCTTGCACCATCAGACACACACGTGTGTGTGCACACACATGAGTCTCAAACAAAATGAGAGATCTGTCTCAGCTACCACGTGCTCATTTTCTACAATGGGTCCTTCTGAAAGAAGCCAGGGAGACTCAAATTACTTCATCTAGGGATCATCTACTCAGGAGATCAGAAATCTAGTAGCCTAGAAACCAGAGACTCTATATTTCCTTCCAAAGAACAAGGAGGAACTAATTAAGAGAGGATTTTAAAAAATAGTGCCTATGCACTCGAAGTCTGAGATGGAAGAAGGAAAAAATGCATACAAATAGTCCAAAAAAACTACCTTACTGACCACTGACTTTAGTAAGGCCCTTGCCGCAGCCTGCCCAGATATACCTGAAAGATGAAACTGGAGGGGCTGGATGATGGGGCAGATATATGTGCTCCAAAAGCAGTGGTCACACAACCTAGACAAAGGCCGGCAGTGCTGTGGTGCCAGGTTCAGTCCCGAGTCCTATTCTGGTCAAACGTTTTTATTAATCACTTGAATAAAATCAGAGAAGGCACACAATTTATTCATACAATTCATTGAAGTTAGTATTGTTATTATTCATTTATTACTTCCATTTTACGAAAAAGGAAACTGAGGATCAGAGAAGTTAAACTCACTCCTCCATGATAGTACACCAGAGTTAAGGTGTGAACCTCATGTCTGGCTGTCTCCAACATCTGCGATCTTTCCAGTCATCACAAACCTATCAAATCTGTAGAATACATAACTCTTTAAGAGGCAGCTGACATTTAGCATTGAATCATTATTCCAGAGACTGAGATCTTACTAAGAGCTAATGTGTACCACTACACACCTATGAGAATGACCGAATTCCAGAACACTAACAACAAACACCAAATGCTGCCAGGGATGTGGAGCAACAGGAACTCTTATTGCTGGTGGGAATGCAAAATGGTGCAGCCACTTTGGAAGACAGTTTGGCTTATAAAACTAAGCACACTCTTACCATAGATCCAGCAGTTGTGCACTTTGGTATTTACCCAGAGGAGCTGAAAAATTATGTCCCCACAAAAACCTATACACAGTTGTTTATAGCAGCTTTATTCATAATCACCAAAACTTCAAAACAACCAAGATGTCCTTCAGTAGGTGAGTGGATAAATAAACTGTGGTACTTCCAGACAATAGAATATTATTCAACACTAAAACAAATGGAAAAAAAAAAGATGGTGCTATCAAACCATAAAAAGACATGGAGGAACTTTAAACGTGTATTACTGAGTGAAAGAGGTCAAACTGAAAAGGCTACATACTACATGATTAAAACAATTTGACATTCTGGAAAAGGCAAAATTATAGACACAGTAAAAAGATCAGTGTTTGCTAGAGGTTAGAAGGGAGAGAGTGATGAACAGACGGAACACAGAGGAATTTTAGGACAGTGAAACTATGCATGATAGTATAACGGTGCCTCCGTGTCATTATAAATTTGTCCGGACCCATAGAATGTACAACACCAAGAGTGCACCCTAATGTAAACTACGGCCTTTAGATAATGATAATGATGAGTCAGTGTAGGTTCATAGAGTGTAACAAAGGTAGCACTCTGGGGGGATGTTGATAATGTGGGAGGCTGTGCACCTGTGGGGGAAGAGAGTATATGGGAAATCTCTATACCTTCTGCTGAATATTGCCGTGAATCTAAAATTGCTTGAAAAAATAAAGTCTATAAAATAAACCAAAAAACCGCCCCCAGCAAACTAAAAACGCTAATGAGCAACAAGTCAATACGACATTTATTCCTATCAAATTTCATCTGGTTTAATTTCTTACTCTTTAGGCTTAAAGTGTCAACAAGTTAAGTAAGGCTGTGACTTAGTGGAAATTGGCACTTTTAAGTATAATACGAATTAATAGTATGCCTGGCTGCCCACAAAAGATAATGCTAATACTTGTAGGCGATATAAATGAAGAAATAAGATGGTGTCCCAGAGAAGGGAATTAGGTCACATCTAAACAATTGTTAAGTTTAACTCTACCCATCACACTTGAAAAGAAACATCATATTGAAGTAAATATTTATTGTGCATCTATTAGTTTACAGATCTAATCCTGTTTAATCCTCTTAACAAGATAAGAGGTAGATGTAATTATTCCCTACCTTACAGAGAAGAACACAGAATCCAATTTAAGCAGCTAGGATTTGATGCTCAGGCTCTGTCTCCGAAGTCTGTGCTTTCCCCACCCCCAGCACTGGGCTGCGTGCTCCAAGGAGGGCTGCCAGGAGAATAGAGGGCATGGAGACCGGGGCACAAGGAGGAATCATCCAAAAAGAGAAAACCCAGGGGCAGAGAAATTCCCTTCAAGGAACTAAGGGTTCTCACAGAGCAAGGGCTGACGCTCTGCCAGGCAGCCTTAGTGCCAGTTACAGACACACACATTGAAAGCTCAGGGGTGCTACTTTTGATACAGCTAGAAGAGTTCAACAATTTTACCTCCTTACCAGTGAAATGAGCTCCCACAACAGCAGCGGACTTCCTTTGTGCCCTGGAAGACATGAGAGTTTCCCATATTGGAAAATAGAATAGCTGACCCCTAGGGTCCCATCTAATTCCAAGATCGTCTAATAAGGGCTTTTAAACAGCTGTGGACTTGGAATTATATATAGTAAGATCCTATTGTTGCAAAAACAGCTCGGCTTGCTTTTTTTTTCCTAAGGATGTTTTAAAAAGTAGAAATTGACAAAATTATTCTCTTTAATTATAATGAAAGATAAATCATGCTCATGCTTTCTTCTTTTTCTCCTTTAATGAATGGATTTGCCTATTCAAAAGCTTAATAAAAATTATATATGAAACACCAAAACGTCATTCCAATCTTCCTCTCTTCCTTGATTTTGTAAAAGGAACATTTCTGGTGTTTGTGCATGTTTTTCCCCTTATGTTTTTGTTGATTCTTTTGTATAGACATACACTTGACTTTTAAAAACATGATTTATTTTTGTTCAATTAGATGTATGAGTTATTTTAGCGATGCTTGCTTTTCCAGTCACTAGTGCTACTCTCCTATTATATCTGTCTTCCAATCTCCATAATCGGAAGGCACTTCCTGGCCCTCTGGTGGGTGAATAGGGCTGTATGATTGCTGGTCAGTGACTTGTGAGCGAAAGTGATATGTGTCACTTCTCAGTCAAGCATTCAATTGATTGCTAGTGCAAGACCCTCCAGGTCTCTTTTTATTTTTCCTTCTGTTGTAGCAACCAGCGGTGTTCAAGATGATCCCAGAATGGGGAGATGTAGAACAGTCCCCAGATGACATATGATGACTATATAACAAGAAAGAGAAATAAAACTTCGTGTTGATCCATCAATATTTGGGAGTTGTTACTGCAGTATAACCCAGCCTATTCTGACTAGTACTGGGCCACATTAGACGTAGTCCTGCACTGTCCAACCCGGTAGTTACTAGCTACGTGTGACTATTTATATTTAAATTTAAATTTAATTAAGGTAAAATTTAGTTCCTTGGTCACATTAACCACATTTAAAGGGCTCAATAGCCATGTATGGCTGCTGGCTACCACAATACAGGATGCAGATACAGAAGAACATGTCCATTATTGCAGAAAATTTTGTTGATTGGTGCTGACATAGAGTGGTAGGATTTTTATGAGTTGGTAATGTTGTCTTCTAACATTTCTCTTTATTTTAAGTACACATCTATCTAATGCCACATTGGAGTTATTCTCAAAAAATTTTGTCTTTTTATAACAAAATCTCCAGAGCATCCAGTGGAGGTTGCCTTCTGGAAGAAAATAAAGTACTCTGAGCAGTTACATTTCTTAGAACCAAAGTGCTCAGACCTTCCTGAAGGTTACATTGACTGACACCTTTTTGTTACTCTCCACACCTTCCATAAATGAATTCCTAGAGTGGTTTTACTTTAATCTATCCTTTCTGAACCTATTCACATTTTCTCCATTCCTAAGTATGTTAATAGGCACCTGGTATAAGATCTCAGGCACTTGGTAGTGAATTCACCCGAGTTTATTAGCATCCTTGTAAACAATTGTTTCTTTTGTAAGAAATGTCATTGGATATTACAAGAAAATCTTGTAGGAGCCCAAAACTGAACCAATAGATAAAATAATCCTTTCCATCTGTTCATTAATACAAACATCTGGACAATAAATATAAAAATTAAAGTTCCCCTAAGGATCTGGTAGTCGAATGGTGCATTAGGTGAAAACAAGTACAAGATTCAGTGACAACATATCAGTCCCCCTGTCATAAAGGAGATGACAATCAATCTTTATCTTCAACTGACAGTTTGACAGGCAGGCAGTTGTGGATGGGGTGAAAAGAAGACAGCCCTGTGTGAGGGAAAAAATATTTTTAGTCATAAGGAATTGGAAGCCCCCATTCAGTGGCTTAATCCATAAGGATATCAGTTCACATAGGAAGTCCAGAAGTAGGTGGTTCCAGGATTGATTAACTTGATGAGTCAATGACATCATCAACAACCCAGGTTCCTTCCATCTTTCTTCACTGTATATTCATTGTCCTTCGTCGTCTTCATTCTCAGACTGGTTCCCATCGTGGTCACAAGATGCTGCCACTGTTCCAGGTATCCCATGCAGGTATGACACTGTCCAGTTGAAGAAGAGGGTGTCTCTTCCTGTGTGCTTCCTTTTCAAAGAAAGCATAGTTCTCTTCACATCTTACTGATCAGACTGTCACATATCCATTCCTAGGGAAATTAAATGACTGCTTAGAATGGTCAGGATTTGCTACTGATCTGAAGCCAGAATCACCTTTCCTGAGGGGCAAATTCCTGAATAATCAGTTTTCTTTTAACTGGGGAAGAAGTGGGGAATGACTGTTGGACAGTCAACCAAAGAATTTGCCACAGCATATAATTGACTATGGGGTCTATTTGTGCAGGGAGTTGAAGAATGGCTGTAAGGTTTCCAGTCTAGGGGCCTGGATGACTTGTTATATTATTTTTAATCAAGCAATTAGTTCCAGAAAGAAGGTTATGAGCTCATTTCTAGACAGCTTGAGTTGGGGGTGAGCATCAGACAATTGGAACTGCTGACCTGGGGCTAGGAAATGAAGACTGGCTCTAAGTGGGCATCTCTTCCATAAATATCCCAGAAGTCCCTGAGGTGTGATTGCCCAAGAGGATGTAAAGAAAGAGAAGAAGCACAAGGATGGGAGAAGGAAGAATCTGCAAAGGAGACAAAGTGTTAATGGCCAGAGAGTTGGGGCAGAAAACTAGAATCATTCTGGGTGACAAAAGTTCAGGATAGTGTTCCAAGACTGGCCTACAGAGGAAATATGAGGAGGGTAAAGATTAAAGCAGGCCATGGACTTTGGCGGCTACTGGTCAGGGGTGACCTCTAAGGGAGCAGTTTCCATGGAACAGTGGTCATAGTAAAATACAATGGGTCAAAGAGAGAGTGAGTGGTAAGAAAGTAGAGGCAGGAATTATACTTCAGAAACTCTGTCATAAAAGGTGGAAAAGATGGAAGAGTGTGGAAGCAACAAGAGAGTTCCTTACTTTTTTTTTTTTCAGTTTTTAGTTTTTAGTTTTTTTTTAAAGCAGAGGAGGGATTGA